TAAGCAACTCACGAGAAGGATCCGGCGCTGTTGATGGCTCCCTTCTCTCCGGGAGTGCCGTGCTCTGACACTACGATGCCGTTGGCAGTCTCCATGTCGAAGTTGTACCTTCCGTCGTCCTCGATCACACGGTCGTCCCTCAAGATGGCGATCTCCTCACTGGAGACGTAACGAGGAGGGGGAGCACCGTATCCCTGGGGGACGGCGGAGGCCACGGCGGCCACAGCGGCGAGGATCAACTGCGAAGCATAATTTGTCGAGCGATAAAAACGATATACAAAATAATATGTTAATATATCCCATGTGTCTCTTTCTCCTGTTCATGTTTAAAGAATAGGTGATGCCATGAGAATACTCACGAACTTCATGTTGGCTGTGAGATACTGCTGCCCCTGATGATGAATGCAGGGCTTATATGCCGCTATGAGGCGAGTATGCGGTTGCCAATTGACTTCTCTGAGTGGACTGCGAGTGGCCTTGAACCGTCAGATTAGTTTTTCCTTCATCAAATTAGAGACCATTTACCTTCTTCTTATATGTGTTACATGACTTTAACTAAATCCCAGTAAGTGGGGTACTTTTACATGTCCATATCCATATCAAAGCAGAGTATACACATAGAGTCATTGATTCCATTGCCTAAATCTTCATTTACCATATCAGTCCTATGTAAGTGTGCATGAACCCACATATGCGTGTGTATGTGTATATGTATATGTGTATATGTATACATATATATATACATTACATATATGGTCATATGAATGGTAAAACAATTTAACGTGTTCATGCCATGGCAGAAAAACCCACAATTTATTCTATTATAATATTTTCTATAAACAAGGTATTGGCATTAAATCCTATTTACTGAGGGGCGCCGTAGGTGGCTGAGGGCCTCTTGGCATTACGGGCGTCCTCCTCAGCGGCGAAGGCGATCTGGTCGAGGACGAACTGAGGGATCGGGTGGGGGAAACGCGGGAGCCACGGGCAGGTGGGGCGCCCTGAGGCTGGAAGCCGTTCTCGTCAGCAACGAATTGGAGATGGACGTCAGTGCCGTCAGGAGCGGTGTATCTGAGGAGATAAGTTTTCATTACAGTCTAAATGAAGTCTATTAAGAATATGAGCATATTAGTAGAACAGTGTAGTAGCCATACTAAGTTTCACCCGTTCGTTATTGACAAAAAAAGAAATGTTTAAGCAACTCACGAGAAGGATCCGGCGCTGTTGATGGGCTCCCTTCTCTCCGGGAGTGCCGTGCTCTGACACTACGATGCCGTTGGCAGTCTCCATGTCGAAGTTGTACCTTCCGTCGTCCTCGATCACACGGTCGTCCCTCAAGATGGCGATCTCCTCACTGGAGGCGTAGCGAGGAGGGGGAGCACCGTATCCCTGGGGGACGGCGGAGGCCACGGCGGCCACAGCGGCGAGGATCAACTGCGAAGCATAATTTGTCGAGCCACTCAAACGATATACAAAATAATATGTTAATATATCCCACGTGTCTCTTTCTCCTGTTCATGTTTAAAGAATAGGTGATGCCATGAGAATACTCACGAACTTCATGTTGGCTGTGAGATACTGCTGCCCCTGACGATGAATGCAGGGCTTATAAGCCGCTATGAGGCGAGTATGCGGTTGCCAGTTGATATCTCTGAGTGGACTGCGAGTGGCCTTGAACCGTCAGATTAGTTTTTCCTTCATCAAATTAGAGACCATTTACCTTCTTCTTATATGTGTTACATGACTTTAACTAATTCCCAGTAAGTGGGGTACTTTTACATGTCCATATCCATATCAAAGCAGAATATACACATAGAGTCATTGATTCCATTGCCTAAATCTTCATTTACCATATCAGTCCTATGTAAGTGTGCATGAACCCACATATGCGTGTGTATGTGTATATGTATACATATATATATATATATATATTATATATATGGTCATATGAATGGTAAAACAATTTAACGTGTTCATGCCATGGCAGAAAAACCCACAATACGTTGATAAGGAGACAAGAGTTTCGAAATCCACCTGGATTCCATCTTCAGGTCTGGCCTGAAGATGGAATGCAGGTGGATTTCGAAAATGTTGTCTCATTTCAATAAATCTAGCTTGTGCGTTGTAGTTTTTTCGACCATATAGTCATATAAATCTAAATAGATAGATATAGATATATGCAGTATACACACACATACATATATATATATACATATGTATACATACAACCACACAGACACATATACACACTTATATATATGTGTGTGTGTGTGTGTGGGGGGGGGGGGGTCTGCGTGTGTATGTGTGTATTATATATATATATATTAAATACGTTTATACATATATGTATATGCATGTATGTACATGCTCAAGAAAGAAGGAAACACAGAAAAACAGAAAACTTTTCAAATAAGAAGCGCAAGTGAAAGTTTTTTCCGGATTCAATTTAGTTCATGCGTTAGACTTATATGTGCGTGTATGTGCCTTTATGTATATCTGCGTGAATGTGTGTATGCGTGTGTGTGTGTGTGTGTGTGTGTGTGTGTGTGTGTGTGTGTGTGTGTGTGTGTGCTAGCTCGAGTGAAAGTGGTGTTGCACCTCGAGTAGTTTGGATAGATATACCTGCCAGGGATATCAATATATTCCTTTGATTAAGATTAGTAACGTCAGTAATGATAATATATTAAACATCACATATGTACACATGTTTTACACTTCGTTAAGATACGATCCATTTCATTTCACATTTTTTCGATCTCTTAAATGAGATTAAGTGATTCGCAGAAATACAGCAGAAATTTCTGGAGCATCTCGCAGTTTTATATATTATTGTAATGCATTACTCTCCTGGAAATCAAAATATATCCAGCTTCATTAACTAAAACACGCAATCAGAAGAAAAATAAATAAATATTAGTCTACTAAAAAATGTAAATGTCTACTGTATACCTCCTTTTGGATTTTTTTAAATATTTACCCTAATCATCTGTTAAAATAGCCAGAAGAGGTCTCCTTGACAGTACGTGCGTCTTCCTCGGCAGCCGAGGCGATCTGGTCGAGGACAAACTGAGGGACTGAATGGGGTAGTTCGAGGGCAAATAGCAGATGACCCCCCCCCTCCCCCTCCTCAGTATCGTCGGCTTAATATGTCATAAATTCTTCCATAATAGTCACGTAGAATTGTAAATTTAGCTTATGTTTTTATTAGTTTGCAACAGAGGATTTCCGGTGGCAAATTTAATCAGTACCGAGAACTGACATTTCCATTAGTATCAATGTACAAAATAAGTAGAAAAGCATACTGGAATAAAATATCAAAAAAACTATTTTGTTGCTGAAAACTAATGATAATAACTACACACATTTTTTTTCTTTTCACCGAAAAAAATCAACTTTTTTGAGGTAAATGATTAAAGAAAAAGTACGTTTCGGTGGTACATGGGCCTCTTTTTTGCTGTTTTCCTGTGTGTGTGAATTATATACATACATACATACATACAAATATATCTTTATATATATGTGTGTACGTGTGTATATAAATAAATAGATAGATAGGTTTATACATATATGTATGATATATTATGAGGTAATTGTGTGCAGGTAAAGGGATGCATACATGGATAATGGAGGAAGGAAGAAGGAAGTTCATTTATAGCATTCACAATAAATATTTTATTCTATTATAAATATTTTCTATATACAAGGTATTAGCATTAAAACCCATTCACTGAGGAGCGCCGTAGGTGGCTGAGGGCCTCTTGGCATTACGGGCGTCCTCCTCAGCGGCGAAGGCGATCTGGTCGAGGACGAACTGAGGGATCGGGTGGGGGAACGCGGGAGCCACGGGCAGGTGGGCGCCCTGAGGCTGGAAGCCGTTCTCGTCAGCAACGAATTGGAGATGGACGTCAGTGCCGTCAGGAGCGGTGTATCTGAGGAGATAAGTTCTCATTACAGTCTGAATGAAGTCTAGTTTCTTACATAAGAATATTAGTAAATCAGTGTAGTAACCATACTAAGTTTCACACGTTCGTTATTGACTAAAAATAAAAAAAAAATTAAACAACTCACGAGAAGGAACCGGCGCTGTTGATGGCTCCCTTCTCTCCGGGAGTGCCGTGCTCTGACACTACGATGCCATTGGCAGTCTCCATGTCAAAGTTGTACCTTCCGTCGTCCTCTATCACACGGTCGTCCCTCAAGATGGCGATCTCCTCGCTGGAGGCGTAGCGAGGAGGAGGAGCACCGTATCCCTGGGGGACTGCGGCGGCCACGGCGGCCATAGCGGCGAGGATCAGCTGGAAAGCATTTACCGTGTCACTCAAAGGATAATATACGTTACGAAATGGTCACCATACATTTCCCACGCCTTTGTCCTTCGTTGAATACAGGATATGTGACGCCATGATAATACTCACGAACTTCATGTTGGCTGTCAGATACTGCTGCCTCTCATGCAGGTGGTAGCGCTTATATTCTCCTATGAAAATGCATGCAGTTGCCAGCTCATTTCTTTCAACCGTCTGTGAATGACCGCATGTGTGTCCTTGAACTTTTAGAGAATTTTCCCTTCTACGGAAGGCAGAACATTTTTTTCTTCCTTTTTTAGGTGTATTGCATGACCTGAACTGAATCTCTGTAACCTGAGTATTTGAACGTACACGCACAAGAACTTGTCCACGGTAGCACATAAGACATAAATCCGTACGTGTTTTCCCCACGGTACTGTATACACACACAATTACATAAATATGTGTATGTATATGTATATACGTGTGTGTGTGTAAATATGCATAGTTATATGTGTATATGTTTATGTCTCTGTATATTCATACATATATATATAGGCACTTGCATGTATACATGCATCTCTATATCCGTTTATCTATATATCTCTATATATACATATATGTATGTAATATTATGAGGTAATTGTGTGCAGGCAAAGGGATGCATACTTGGATAATGGAGGAAGGAAGAAGGAAGTCCATTTATAGCATTCACAATAAATATTTTATTCTATTATAAATATTTTCTATATACAAGGTATTAGCATTATAACCCATTCACTGAGGAGCGCCGTAGGTGGCTGAGGGCCTCTTGGCATTACGGGCGTCCTCCTCAGCGGCGAAGGCGATCTGGTCGAGGACGAACTGAGGGATCGGGTGGGGGAACGCGGGAGCCACGGGCAGGTGGGCGCCCTGAGGCTGGAAGCCGTTCTCGTCAGCAACGAATTGGAGATGGACGTCAGTGCCGTCAGGAGCGGTGTATCTGAGGAGATAAGTTTCTCATTACAGTCTGAATGAAGTCTAGTTTCTTACATAAGAATATTAGTAGATCAGTGTAGTAACCATACTAAGTTTCACACGTTCGTTATTGACTAAAATAAAAAAAAAATTAAACAACTCACGAGAAGGAACCGGCGCTGTTGATGGCTCCCTTCTCTCCGGGAGTGCCGTGCTCTGACACTACGATGCCATTGGCAGTCTCCATGTCAAAGTTGTACCTTCCGTCGTCCTCTATCACACGGTCGTCCCTCAAGATGGCGATCTCCTCGCTGGAGGCGTAGCGAGGAGGAGGAGCACCGTATCCCTGGGGGACTGCGGCGGCCACGGCGGCCATAGCGGCGAGGATCAGCTGGAAAGCATTTACCGTGTCACTCAAAGGATAATATACGTTACGAAATATTTATCATACATTTCCCACGCCTTTGTCCTTCGTTGAATACAGAATATGTGACGCCATGAGAATACTCACGAACTTCATGTTGGCTGTCAGATACTGCTGCCTCTCATGCAGGTGGTAGCGCTTATATTCTCCTATGAAAATGCATGCAGTTGCCAGCTCATTTCTTTCAACCGTCTGTGAATGACCGCATGTGTGTCCTTGAACTTTTAGAGAATTTTCCCTTCTACGGAAGGCAGAACATTTTTTTCTTCCTTTTTTAGGTGTATTGCATGACCTGAACTGAATCTCTGTAACCTGAGTATTTGAACGTACACGCACAAGAACTTGTCCACGGTAGCACATAAGACATAATTCCGTACGTGTTTTCCCCACGGTACTGTATACACACACAATTACATAAATATGTGTATGTATATGTATATACGTGTGTGTGTGTAAATATGCATAGTTATATGTGTATATATGTTTATGTCTCTGTATATTCATACATATATATATAGGCACTTGCATGTATACATGCATCTCTATATCCGTTTATCTATATATCTCTATATATACATATATGTATATTTGTGAGTTATTTATAGATATACTGATACATGTATCTATCTAAAGATTTATATATATACATTTATATGTCAATATAAATATTTGTATGTATACATGTATCAATTTTGTATATATACACGCACGCATACATACATATATGTGTAAATACACATATACAGCTGTATACCTGTATGTGTATATGCTTATATACATATAGATTTATATATCTGCAAATATATATATATATATATACATATGCATATATATACATATGTGTGTATACAGTAGCTATTTCTCCTTCTATATATAAAATATATATAACTATATATATGATATGTATATATACATATGTGTGTGTGCTTTGACGTATGTATGTCTATGCACATCTTTCTATATATACATGCATGTGTATATAGATAGCTATAACTAAATTATACTATGTGATCACACACATTCATACATACATATACTATATAGGTATCGTGAGGTATTTATGCTTTTTGATCTATTAATTCAAGTTGTTCCTCTACACATGCAGCTGTTAAGGACATTGATTGATGACAATAGAATTTCCTCTCCTTGTGATAAGAACAGTAGTAATAATCATTATCATTATTTCACTCTTATTTCGGTTGTTCTTTTCGTTGCTATGGTAACAATTGTGAAAATAAGAATAAACATAATAAGAATGATCCATACACATGTATGTACTTATTTCGTAATAAGAAATTTTACGCATATTGTGGAAATCATTATACGCATTCTTTATATTCGATTAATATCAAATCACTGGTAACCACCGGAGGGCCTCTTGGCGTTACGGGCGTCCTCCTCTGCAGCCTTTGAGCTATGGTCAAGGACGAACCAAGGCAGTGGGAAGGGGAACTCAGGAGCCACTGGCGGGTGGGAGGCCTGAGTCTGGACGATGACATTTTAAACTACAAACATGATACTTCCAACATTTTGCTAGTTCTATGAAAGAGAGAAATGTTATCTCCAATTAAGTAGTTGGCTGTGTTGATCTAAACTCTCATCTGCTGCCTGTAGTTTTATCTACGTACTCATCTATCTTTCTTTTGGGAAAAACACAATCACATCAAAATGTATCAGACTGCACGAAAGGGAAAATACTAGTATGGCATTTAACATTTAATTATCAAACAATAAATATACACTATAGATATTTATGTACAAGGTCATGTCGGATCTCATTCGTTTCTTCTAATCTAACAATATCAAATCACTGGTAACCACCGGAGGGCCTCTTGGCGTTACGGGCGTCCTCCTCTGCAGCCTTTGAGCTATGGTCAAGGACGAACCAAGGCAGTGGGAAGGGGAACTCAGGAGCCACTGGCGGGTGGGAGGCCTGAGTCTGGACGATGACATTTTAAACTACAAACATGATACTTCCAACATTTTGCTAGTTCTATGAAAGAGAGAAATGTTATCTCCAATTAAGTAGTTGGCTGTGTTGATCTAAAGTCTCATCTGTTGCCTGTAGTTTTATCTACGTACTCATCTATCTTTCTTTTGGGAAAAAACACAATCACATCAAAATGTATGAGACTGCACGAAAGGGAAAATACTAGTATGGCATTTAACATTTAATTATCAAACAATAAATATACACTATAGATATTTATGTACAAGGTCATGTCGGATCTCATTCGTTTCTTCTAATCTAACAATATCAAATCACTGGTAACCACCGGAGGGCCTCTTGGCGTTACGGGCGTCCTCCTCTGCAGCCTTTGAGCTATGGTCAAGGACGAACCAATGCGATTATCAGTTATCATAAGAATGAATATCAAATTATATTGACGCAGAAGAAAGTATGCAATCAAGAATATACACATCATTTTATCGTAAACTATGAGCAATTAAGAAATGATTATCAAAGGAATGCATCTGGAAGTTACGGACGTCCTCCTCTGCAGCCTTTGAGCTATGGTCAAGGACGAACCAAGGCAGTGGGGAGGGGAACTCAGGAGCCACAAACATGATACTTCCAACATTTTGCTAGTTCTACGAAAGAGAGAAATGTTATCTCCAATTTAGTAGTTGGTTGTGTTGATCTAAACTCTCATCTGCTGCCTGTAGTTTTATCTACGTACTCATCTATCTTTCTTTTGGGAAAAACACAATCACATCAAAATGTATCAGACTGCACGAAAGGGAAAATACTAGTATGGCATTTAACATTTAATTATCAAACAATAAATATACACTATAGATATTTATGTACAAGGTCATGTCGGATCTCATTCGTTTCTTCTAATCTAACAATATCAAATCACTGGTAACCACCGGAGGGCCTCTTGGCGTTACGGGCGTCCTCCTCAGCGGCGAAGGCGATCTGCTCGAGGACGAAGTCAGGGATTGGGTGGGGGAACTCGGGGGCCACTGGCAGATGGGCGCCCTGAGGCTGGAAGCCGTTCCCATCAGCAACGTACTGGAGGTGGACGTCAGTGCCGTCAGGAGCGGTGTATCTGTGGAAAAGAAAAATGTTTAGTATTGCCAAACATTTAGAAGTAATGTATATAATCTCCCTGAAGACACTCAGAAAATGAAAGAGGGCAAGGTCAACTCACGAGAAGGATCCGGCGCTGTTGACGGCTCCCTTCTCGCCGGGAGTGCCGTGCTCTGTAAACACGATGCCGTTGGCAGTTTCCATGTCGAAGTTGTACCTTCCGTCGTCCTCGATCACGCGATCGTCCCTCAAGATGGCGATCTCCTCGCTGGAGGCGTAACGAGGCGGGGGAGCGCCATATCCCTGTGTGTCTGCGGCGGCCACGGCGGCCAGAGCGGCAAGGATCAACTGCAACACGTAATTCATCATATTACTCGAAGCCAGATATGCGAAGCTGAACGTAGTCCTTAGATAGTACACATTATAAGACATTCACTTCTCCCCAGAGTCGTAGCCAGTTCAAATGACAACCAATAGGGCCTAAATCACCTAAAAGTAGTACCCTTGTCTATTTTCCCATGTATATATGACCTTACTAGCAGCTACCACCCCGCAATAACAGGATGAAAGAGAATGTTCCTCATAGTGTGCCAGAGTGTCTGAACATATCCCTTAAAAATGTGCACATCCCGAGTCCGCTATTCTATATCAACAAATCATTATCTGAAGTTCCATCGAGATTACTCACAAACTTCATGATGACTGGCACTGTAAGATGCACTGTCTCAGTCTCCAGTTCTCAGCCTACTTATAGTCCAATTGTGCAAGGTGCCAGTTGCCAATTCTGTTTCTTTTTTGTTTACTTCCATTTTGAGACACCGTTCATCAGAAAAAAGTGTTTTTCCTCATCCCTTTATAATTAACTATTCAATAATAAATAAATTATGATAAAAAATCTAATTAACAACAGGTTTTTTCGCACTCTTTCGACCATATGATGCGTTTACAAAATTAAGACGTTTAACCAGGCACTCCACCAGTGCCGATATCTAATTATTTAAGCTTGCTCCAAATTACTATACGAGTGGCCTTTATCTTGATATAGTCTTTAAGCAATGCACATGTTTTTTTAGAACGAAAATTAGGTAAGTATACTTTAAATTGCAAAGAAGATTGCAATGATAGTAAATACAGAGATGTTGCTAAAATGCAATGACTTTCATCATCCCTTCAAGGAAAAAATGAGCAGCGACTCTCTTTGATGACGTAATTCAAGTCCTTTAAATCTTATTGTTATTTGTACTCTTGATAAACCCATAATCATAATAATAACCATGGTACCATCAACATTAATAGATTAGAAAAAAAAAGGTTGAGAGCCACTGATCTATATGCATACACACACGTCTGTATACACATACTTGCATATATATTCATGTCCAGCATACAGTTTATAATGCATAGGCAAATACGATAGAACAGATAAAAGATACTGTCTGTGTACGTACGCGTATGTATTAAATGCCTACAAAAAATGTAGTTCCACAAATATGCGCTTGCATATATATATGTACATTCTTTCTGCATTTTCCCCAGGATCATTTATACTGTGTGTTTGTGGTGCACACAACACACGTCCATACATTACATATATACATATAAAAGTACATATGTACATATATATAACTTCATTTACATACACCTAACATTCCTGACGAGCGGTCCGGTTTCCTGATAAAGGGTGTCGTTTTTTCTTCAACTACCAGGTTTCCGCTCTATGCTATCGCGACCGACGGAAAATTCTATATTTTTCATAATTCTGAGAACCCATTGCAAAATTTGTTTGTATTTTTTTTTTTTTTTTTTTTTTTTTTTTTAAGATTCGCGAAGCAGAGCCTCGCCCGGGCTATGCCTATTTGGGGAGCCCGGTACCTTGTTTGTAACGTAAATTTTCCTGATCTTTGTATTTTTTTTCGCAAATGCACTCTATTCAGAAATGCATACTGCAAAACGATTTCAGTCAATGTTTGTTTTCATTCTTTGGATAATTGCTCTTAGATATACATGCCTATGCACGTTTGGGGATATATTCCCATGTATACATATGAATGTGGATTATGAATGTGTTCGATCCTTTTCTCGCCACTCGAAACTGTACTACCCTAACACACGCTGGGAATGACTCTATCGCAAAGGAATTTTAGTCCATGGCTATATTTGTTGATAGAAAAATCTAAAACTACCCTTTTCATTTCTTTTAAATTCAATGATTAAAGAAACAATCAAATTTCGGTAACGCATGGGTAACTCGCTCTCTTACCGTTTGTGCAACTTATATATAAGTGTATGTATGTGTGTGTATGCGTTTGTAGATAAGATAAATAGATGGATAGATGTATACATGTGTGTATGATATATTATGAGATAATCGTCTACAGGTAGAGGGATGATACATATATAAAAGTAAATGGGAAAGGAAGTTCATTTATAACATTCATATTAAATATTTTACTTTAGCATAAATATTCTCGTATGTACAAGGTCTTCTCAGTATCAAAACTTATTTACTGAGGGGCGCCGTAGGTGGCTGAGGGCCTCTTGGCATTACGAGCGTCCTCCTCAGCGGCGAAGGCGATCTGGTCGAGGACGAACTGAGGGATCGGGTGGGGGAACGCGGGAGCCACGGGCAGGTGGGCGCCCTGAGGCTGGAAGCCGTTCTCGTCAGCAACGAATTGGAGATGGACGTCAGTGCCGTCAGGAGCGGTGTATCTGAGGAGATAAGTTTTCATTACAGTCTGAATGAAGTCTAGTTTCTTACATAAAAAATATAAATAGAACAGCGTAGTAGCCATACTAAGTTTCGCACGTTCGTTATTGACTAAAAAAGAAATGTTTAAGCAACTCACGAGAAGGATCCGGCGCTGTTGATGGCTCCCTTTTCTCCGGGAGTGCCGTGCTCTGACACCACGATGCCGTTGGCAGTCTCCATGTCGAAGTTGTACCTTCCGTCGTCCTCGATAACGCGATCGTCCCTCAAGATGGCGATCTCCTCGCTGGAGGCGTAGCGAGGAGGGGGAGCACCGTATCCCTGGGGGACGGCGGCGGCCACGGCGGCCATAGCGGCGAGGATCAGCTGGAAAGCATTTACCGTGTCACTCAAAGGATAATATACGTAACGAAATAGTCACCATACATTTCCCACGCCTTTGTCCTTCGTTAAATACAGAATATGTGACGCCATGAGAATACTCACGAACTGCATGTTGGCTGTCAGATACTGCTGCCTCTCATGCAGATGTTAGCGCTTATATTCTGCTATGTGAAATGCATGCAGTTGCCAGTTCATTTCTTCCAATCGTCTGTGAATGACCGTGTGTGTGCCCTTGAACTTTAAGATAATATTCCCTTCTACAGAACATTTTCTTATCTTCCTTTTTTATGTTTATTATATGACCTGAACTGATTCTCTGTAAGTAGAGTATTTGCACCTACACGTACAAGAACTTGTCCACGGTAGCACAT